ACTGTACTAACCATGAGGATGTTATCAGTGGAAGGGAACAATTAATGAAAAAATTGAGACCCATCTAAAATTAAATACCGTAATTCTTCTAAAATTTCGCACCTCTAAATAATTTTTAAGCACTGTTATTTCAAAATTAATTCTAATTATTTGTTTTGTTAATTATAATGAAAGTTCTTCTAATTTCATTATTTCCATCCAATTTCAACACTCGACAGCATTATAACACATGGACCTGTGCTGGAAGAGGCCAAAAATAGTGTCTAACTCACAGTGATGCCTCGAGCAGCACTCTGCCGGACAGATGACTGCCATTAGTAGGCCTAAGTTCAAGATTCAGATTGTGAAGATTATTAGTTAAGCAACAAAGAAGCATCGGCAGACTTACAATATCTTATCCAAACATGCATCTTAGTGCCTCCTATTTCATCATAATTAATTGTTAGTTGGCCATAAAGGCTTAGATTACTCTAATTATTCGTTTCCAAAATTTATTTATCAAAAGTGACTGATATTACACACTGTGCAATGTACAGGTAAATAGCATCATTCAAGTTTTCATTTAATAAAAATTCAATGCCTTAACTACATGTACATGCATGTACCATATTTCCTTGAATAAGGGCCTAGGCATTTACTGCTTAACAGAGGCAAAAATCACAAAATACTAAAATAATACAGATCAAAACCCAGGCTAAAACCTGCACCTCTATGTTCAGAAGACTGAGGATGAACAATTAGGCTACTTGGACCACTCTAAACAGAGGTGCACAATACTGCACATGCATGTAGTACTGGGTAAAATATGCGTATCTACATTGTATAATGGTAATATATTATTGATAGGCACTTATGTGAGTAGGGCCACCCATTTAAGGGAATACGATATGTTCACATTAAAAGGGGAACATGCATGTTGTAAACTGTTCACAATGCAGCTTAATTAAAACATGAATCATTGAAATACTTACCATAACAATGTACATGCACCACATGTATAACTTAGTCCAGCACTTAAATATGGGACAAAGCAGCCACACATTGCCAGTACTTTTGCAACATGTACAGTTGTACACGTACATGTACATGTAACTTGCAATGCTACTGAACATAAAGCCTGTATTGTGTGGTGAAAATCCTGTATCTAAAAAGTTCATACAGCCACAAAGACTTTAGATGCAGCCATTTGAACATAAGAAAATGTTGAAATCAAATAGATAGTGAGTGGTACATGTACATCCTTACATGTATATTAACTTGCAATACCTTGTAAGCGATGCTCAACAATGTAGCATACTTGATAAGCTGTTCTTTCAGCAAACCAATTATCACCTAAGAATGCTAGTACCTCATTTGTTCTATACAATTGTCCTGGGATATAGGCAACTTTTCCAATAGGTACCTATGACAAGAAATGAAATCTAAGTAAAATGGCAATGTAAATACTACTTCAACAAACTACTGGAACCAGTACATTATTGACAAGAGTCAATTGGAAGAAGAATATTTTGATTCAATGTCACCTTAAGATAAAATGACATGATACAAGTTTGCATCAAACAATATATATAATTGCATAATACTCTGGAACTAAAAATAATTAGTCCCCTTCAAAAGCTCATGTGACATACACGTACATGCAATTTAGTACATGCATAACTACTGTCTATAATTTCATAAAGGATCAAAGTAAAAAAATTCCAGTGAACACTATAATAAATTATCATTGCTACATGTACATGTACATTGTCATGACATGCTTACCATTATGTTAGCCGATAATTTTTTTGGCAAAGAATTTAAACGTTCCAATAAAATTTCATAGTCCCTTTCAAACTCAATCCTAAAATAAACAAACGTAACAGTGTTAAAATATTCCTATAATTGATTTCAACACCTTGCATGCACAGGTAGA